GCTGAGCCTTCTGGGCCCGGCTCTGCCATCACCCACGTTTGCTGGAGGCCGGGTCTCACCCATGCTTGGTAGAGCCTGGGTGTCACCCATGCCCGGTGGAGCCCAGGCCTCTTTCCCTGCTTTCACCAGGACTGTGAAGCGCGAGCTGGCAGCATCTGACACATCCCCCTCGCTGCTCAGCCCCGCTGCTGCGGCCTCCCACGCTCTGCAGGGCCGAACCTCTGCTGAGGAGCGTTCTGAGGCGCCTGCTGACGGAGGTGGGAGAGAGACGCGCTTGGCACGAATTATCCTCCTCCCTAGAGAAAAGCTGCTGCCTCGGTGTGGGCGGTGTGTCAGGACAGGCGGTGTGTCAGGGTGCTGTGTCAGTGTGGGTGCTGTGCCAGGGTGCTGTGCCAGCATGGTGTGTCAGGGTGCTTGCTGTGTCAGAGTGCTGTGTCTGGGTGCTGTGTTACGGTGGGTGCTGTGTCAGGGCAGTGTGTCAGTTTGCACGCTCACCTTGCCTGCAGTGTCACCTGCTGTGTCAGGGCAGTGTGTCAGTTTGCACACCCACCTTGCCTGCCTGGCCACTGTGCAAGTGCTGTGGGTGGGCGCTGTGTCGGGGTGCTGTGTTATGGTGGGTGCTGTGTCAGGGTGGGCACCGTGTCACTGCAGTTGCTGCGGTCTCAGAGCCTTTTTTCCCGACCTATGAAAATATTTCCCCTGCTAGGGGGACGAGAGCAGCCCTGGAAGGGCGCAGACCCCTGTCCCAGAGCACCGGGCAGGGTTTCCCAGCCGTGGCTGCCCCAGCGTGTCGCAAGGGGTGCGGCATGGCCGGGCACGGTGGTGCCTGGCAGTTCCCGGCTCACAGGGGGCTCTGAGGGTGTCGTGGGGGGCTCTGAGGGACCCCGGGGCTCTGAGGGTCCCCAGGCGGCTCAGACAGCGCCCTCACGCTTCGACCCCGCCGCCTCGGCCGAAGCCCGCGCATGCGCAGCCATAGCGCCGCCACAGGCGCGGCGCTGCCGCGCACGCGCGGTCCCTCCCTGCCGCGGCTGTGCGCAGGCGCCGCGCGTGGGCCAAGATGGCGGCCGTGAGCGCGTCGCGGTGGGTCGGGGCGGCCGCGGGGCGCGGGGCGGGGAACGCGCGGCCGCCGCCGCTTCTGCTGCTGCTCCGCGGGCTCCGCGTCCCGCCCGCCCGTGCCCCGCGCCGCCTCCTGCTGCTCCGAGCTGGGCTCTGCGCCGCGGGTGAGCGGGGCGGCAGGGCAGGGACGGGGGGCGGCGGTGGGGCGCGGGTCCTTCCCCCGGCCGTGTCCCTCCTCTTGCCCGGCCCGGCCCTCACCGCGGCCCTTCTGTCTCCCCTCCCGCAGGGACGAAACGTGCTGCAGCCGCCGCCGCCTTCCACAGCAGCGGGGCCCGCACCAAGGAGGACTATTACCAGGTGCTGGGGGTGCCCCGCACCGCCACCCAGAAGGAGATCAAGAAGGCCTATTACCAGGTGCGTCCGGCCGGGGCTGCGCGGGGACAGGGACAGAACTGCCTCGCTGCCTGTCCGGTGTGGCAGAGAGCAAATCCCCCCTTGA